CACCTTCCTTCGTTACAATTGAACGGAAAAGCAAAAAAAAACAACAAACCCCCACAAAAACCCACAAACGTGAGACAAAAGACAACCCGGGGAAAGGTGCGTGACTTAGATGGAGGTTTGCATCTTAATTATTTGAACCTCGTAATCTTGGCTTCCACTTGCCACTGCGTTTTCCTGAGCTACGTACCGAGAGGAGGACACATTCTTGTCAAGTGAGACCCAGTTTATCGACTGCTTAAGGTCACTTTATAAATATTTTACTTATCTAAAGCAGAAATTTAGAAACTAATGAATTACTATAAGCCATTTTAAAGTGGTTTTTCGCTACGTAAAAGCAAATTCTAACCACGTTAAAGTGGGTTGACGTTGCTATTAATATAGTTATTTAAAAAAAAAAAGTTTCTCCTCTCTCTTTTTTTATTTCCTAAATGTTCATGATTTATAATTTTATAATGTGCTTTTGTTGTTGTTTTTTTTTCAAATCCCTTTAGCTGCGAGCATTTCGCTCTTGGCAGCGTAATGCCTCCCTTAAGTAACCACATGTCCTTGTCATCTGGTCAACGCCAGAGTAGAGCAGACTTTGTAAGTCTGTAGGTGTGTGTAGGAGCTTGCGTCGAAGAACTGCCATGTTTGGGCAGTGAAGGAGAAGATGTTGAACGGTCTCCTCGTGGTGGTCACAGTGTCTGCAATGGGGTTCCCACATGGTGTTGATTCTGTTTATGTGTTATAATGTGCTAGAGGCTAAAATTTCAACCTTTTCCATTATCTTTTGTTGGCGGGTGGCTGGAGGGTTTCTTAGTGTACACATTTCCCCTAGTCTCTTTTCTGCCTTTTTAAATTCTACATGCGTCTTGGTCGGCCACTAGCAGTTTGGCGCTTCGTTGTTGCATACAGAAGACGTGAGTTCGATTCCTGTGTAGGAAGTTTCTAATTGAGCATCTCCGTCTCTTTGCTGGATGGTTGCATCCCTCTCTGCCCGGGTTGGCCGTTGCGGGAAAAGTCGACGTTTCTCATCTCCTAAATGATCTAATCTGTTCGATGGGGGCGTAAACCCTATTATTATACCTACAACTAAATTCTATTTCATAATTTCGTGCTCTTTCCCTGCAGTGCATGTTATTTATCGTATTGATATATAATACTTGTTACTTGTTACTTGTGTGAAGGACCGACATCACTGCAGAAAGGGCATCCCAATAAGCGCTCCGTCCCCTGAAGAAGCACATCTCGAAGTGTGTAGATGCATTGGTATATAATATGCTGCTCGAAGTACAATTGACTCGTCTCTTACAGCTATCTGCCTTAGACACTCACTTTTATAAACAACCACTTGATTGGCGGCGTTATGGTGTTGTCTGCTCTTTCTCCCTCTCTCTTTTCTACTTCTTATGGCAAAAAAGAGCCGTTATTCAGTAAATCACCGTAAATTATAGTTCGGCATCCTTGTTTCTTCTTTCGCTATCGGATAGCTGCATTTGGCTACTTGCCCATGTTCAAGCTGGCGGTTGTTGTGTAGTTGGAAGATTCCTTGCCATCGTATACAATTGTCGTGAGTTCATTTCTTGACTGGGAGACAATTTTTGTTTTTTGAGCATTTTCGTCTGTCTGCAGCCATTTTGTTTCCCACTCCACCCAGATCGGCCCTAACGATCTGGATACAAACAGCCTCATCGAAGAGTCGAGTGAACCGTAAAATATTTACAATGAAGTACAAATTCTCAAGTCTTTTCACTCTTAATGTGTTTTCAAAGAGGATAAGTGCAAGATTACTCACACATAAATGAATCCGATGGAATGAGAACCGAAACAATTAATACATTTATCACATTTTATGTGAACCTCTCTTGTGGGTAAAAAAAGAAGATCAAATTAGATAGATAGACAGAAGACAGACAGACAGACAGACAGACAGACAGACAAACGAATAAATAGATAGTTAGATAGATAGATAGATAGACAGCAAATGTCAAGATCAAATGAATAAACAAATTATATCACGAACAGGTATTGCGAAAAGTGATCAGCCCTCACGCGTTCTTATTTTAATGAAAGGCAACGAAAATCAACGTTATTCAGTTTTGTAGTGCTAGGATCGTCCCTGGATCCAATAGTTTTCATTGCCTCACATTAATTATCTAGAACGTCTAGAACGAATTTTGCCCATCTCCGAAAGAGCTTGACAAATCAATAGCCGTTGTTAAAAGCTACCACCGCCCGGAGCTTCTTTTGTTCAACTTTCGATCTGACGGCTAGTTCCAAAACCACACGTAGCAACATTGCAGTGTAATTATTATTATTGTTCTCGAGTGTTTGAGTTAGAGACGCCTGTATAACCAACACTGGGGTGGCTGAGGGGGTTTGTTTACTCAGATTGCCACCTGTGTGTCTCTTTCACGTCAACAAGTGTTTTACAATAATTGCTCGATATCTCGGTTTCGAAGTTGTTGGCAAGCAGCAATCGGCTTTACTTCAGGCTGAACATCAGGATCAAAATGGATATTCGGTTGAAAAGTAAGTCATTAACGCTCGGTGTCAAATCACTGTATTGTGCTGTCATTTTTCCAAATTGTTGTGTGTTAGTGGTATTAATTTGTGGTTTTGAAAATTCATTTCAAGGATTTCCTTCCGTCTGACATTTTGTTTTTCTGTAATTTTTGTGTGTATGTTTTATGTAACCTTTTCTTCTTTCTCTGTAATTTATTTTGTTTATTTGATCTAGCCTGGGCGGAGGCCACGAGCAATGATAACAGCAGCGGCAGTAGTAGTTGCAGAAGTAGGAGTAAAAGTAGACTTAGTGGTACATGTCAATGTAGTAGTAGTAAAATTAATAGCTGCAGCAGCAGTAGTAGTAGTAGCAGTAGTAGTAGTAGTAGTAGTAGTAGTAGTAGTAGTAGTAGTAGTAGTAGTAGTAGTAGTAGTAGAAC